AACAGGGAAGTCAAGTCCACTGGGCTTGGAGAGGAGAGGGAGGAACAGAGTTCTGCGAGAGGGAGGAGCAGCGGCCACAGAAATACGTCTCTTCTTCGGTAAAGGGACCCCTAAAGTCCTCCTGGAGAAGCCTCTTCTCTTCTGTGCCTCATTTTCTTTGCAGGAGAATAAGTCCCCACTTCCCTCCCAAAAGGTGACAAAAGAGTGAGTATATCAGCCAGGCTCGGTGGCTCATGCCTGTAATCCCAGCACTTTGGGAGGCTGAGGTAGGCGGATCATGAGGTCAGGAGTTCAATACCAGCCTGGCCAATATGGTGAAACCCCGTCTTTAATAAAACTACAAAAACTAGCTGGGCATGGTGGCACGCGCCTGCAGTCCCAGCTACTCAGGAGGCTGAGGCAGGAGAATTGCCTGAACCTGAGAGGCCGAGGTTGCGGTGAGCCGAGATCGCACCACGGCCCTCCAGCCTGGGTAACAGAGCGAGGCTCTGTCTCAAAAAAAAAAAAAAAAAAAAAGTGAGGACATCACACTTGGGAGAGCGGAGGCTGATGAAGACCTTTTACCCTTCCTCGCCTCCTCAAGGCGGTGGCCAGGTGAGCTTGCTGCCGACTAGAGCAAAGCACACAGCGGGCAAGGCAGCCACAGATCACACCGCGGTACCACGGCTCGGGCCAAGGCTAGCCGAGCTGCCATCCCGCGCCAACTTCCTCCTCCTCCTCCTCGAGCCAATCAATACAAGCACCAGGCTCCAACCAGTCCTTCTCCTTGCTGCCGCCCTGCCCTCTGACCTTTAGGGGCCTTTCTCTTGACTCATCTCCAGAAGGGAGGTAGAGGCCATCACTCCGGGCCTGCTCAATGGCCTCAGAATGGGCTGTCATGGGGCCTATAACCAGGGACAGCTCCTGCTGGCTGGGAGCTGGAATAGGGGGTGAGGGCAGATAAAGGCCTTCAAGGCTGAAGATAAATGGCCGCCTGCAGCCTGCTACAGTAACTTCAGGCCCCCAAGAAGAGCAAACAAAGGGTGCCCCTGTGACACTCCCTGGAAAGATGAAGGCCCAGCAGCGGCAGCCAGGCGGGTTCAAAGCCCCAGCTTAATTGTCAATTAAGCATGCATAAGGGAGACAAAGCCATGACAACCCTGGGCCGCATGCTGGTGTGTGATTGTAAAGCCAAGGAGGGCTACACCGCAAACAGCTGATTCTGCTGACGATGTGTTTGCAGGGCATCTTGTAACCAATCAGCCGCTGACAGAGGCAGAGTGCTCCTCCAGCCACCCCCATTGTGCCGGACATTCCAGGACCAGGGTCACACCGTGGTCATCGTGGGCAAGTGGGCCACAGCGTGGTGAGCCTGGCCGGGAGGGGAGGTGCTGTTAAAGAAAGGTGCTCTTCCTCTCCACGCAGAGGGTCCTGGGGAAGCTTCGTCTCCAGGGTGCTGCCAGCCCTCCTAGCTCAGGTGCCCGTGTTTGGAGAGGGGAGAGCGTGGAGAGTGGGCATGGTAACTGGGGCCTTGTTCCCCCCAGCTCAGTCTTTGGGGTTGCCAGTGCTGACTGTGGATGCTGGGCTCTCCTCAGCAACATGGAGCTCCTTTTTTTACTTAGATGGAGTCTTGCTCTGGCGCCCAGGCTGGAGTGGCGTGGTGCGATCTTGGCTCACTGCAACCTCTGCCTTCTTGGTCCAGGCAATTCTCCTGTCTGAGCCTCCCAAGTAGCTGGGATGGCAGGCACGTCTGCCACCATATTCAGCTAATTTTTGTGTTTTTAGTAGAGATGGAGTTTCACCATGTTGGCCAGGATGGTCTCGATCTCTTGACTTTGTGATCCACCTGCCTCGGCCTCCCAAAGTTCTGGGATTTCAGGTGTGAGCCACTGCACCCAGCCCATAGAGCTCTTATTATATTCTGCATGCAGTTATATTTCTGGCTTGGCTAGTGACCATACCCTGGCTGTGGTCACTGAGGTGGGAAAAGCGCCATGCGGCTCCAGACAGATGCCACCTGAGTGCTGGGCTCCAGCCTGCCGTCTACCTGCGTGCATTACTCAGGAGCCCTGTCAGGGGGCACGTGCCATCCTGGCAGCCTGAGATGGGGACACACATCTTCAACCCCAGCATCCTGCATTCCAGGCACCTCTGTTTCCAGTCGCAGGGCCAGGACACATCTCACTGCCTCTTAGGGGAATGGCCTGGTATGTGAGATTAAAAAGAAAATGGGCCGGGAGTGGTGGCTTATGCCTGTAATCCCAGCGCTTTGGGAGGCCGAGATGGGCAGATCATGAGGTCAGGAGACTGAGACCATCCTAACATGGTGAAACACGTCTCTACTAAAATTACAAAAAATTAGCCAGGGGGTGGTGGCACATGCCTGTAGTTCCAGCTACTTGGGAGGCTGAGGCAGGAGAATTGCTTGAACCCGGGAGGCGGAGGTTGCAGTGAGCCCAAATCGCTCCACTGCACTTAAGCCTGAATGACAGTGAGACTCCATCTCAAAAAAAAAAAAAAAAAAGAAAATGGATTTCTGCTGCCTTCCAGTCTTCCCACTGCCCTTGCTGAGAGTCATAATGAGGGTCGTATGGGTTATTGGGAAAGGCGTCTTCATGCATTCACTCCTTTGCATCCTCACACGCACCCTGTGTGGAAGGTCCTATTTCTCCCTGTTGCAGGCAGGAAACTCAGACTCAGAGAAGTTATGTGAATTAGCCACAGTTATAACCTCACTGGTTAGAACCCAGATTCATAACTACACCCACAGAAGCCAGTCCTTGGGCTTGGAATAAGGACTACGTTGCAGAGGAGCCCAGAGTGAAAATTAAGGCAGAGGGGCTGGGCAGTCTCACAACTGTAAACCCGGCACTTTGGGAGGCCAAGGCAGGAGGACTGCTCGAGACCAGGAGTTCGAGGCTGTAGTGAGCCAAGACTGTGCCACTGCACTCTAGCTTGGGTGACAGAGGGAGATCTTGTCTTTAAAAAAAACAAGCAAAAGAAAGGCAGCCGCTGAGAATATTCAGCGTCCCATAACTGTTCCTTCAGAAACAGTAACAGGAACTCCCATTCTATAGAAAGAAAAGCCCCCAAAGAAAACCTCCGTCCACAGCTGGGTCTGGGGATTCGACGCTAACCTGGTATCTTTCCTACCAGACAGTAAAAACCCCAGAGGGCAGGACACACAGCTCCTACAGCACTAGCATATTGCCAGGACTGGGTAAGCACTCCACACATCTTTGTGCCGTGGGAAAGTACAGAGTGGGAACCGGCAGGCCTGAGCTCCAATCTTTGTTTTGCTACCACTGCGCTGAGTCACTTAGGCAAATCGCTGCCTCTTTCTGGACCTCAGTTCTTCGAATTCCCTCCAAATTCTAATATTACATGATTTTTAGAAAGATCCAGACTTCAGGGGCACCCCAGAGAGTCCACTTCCTGTGGGACAGGCCCTTCCTGGACTCCCCTCAGAGGATGACACAGGCTGTGTTTTCTGCCCACCCTGCTGGGTTTCCAGTACCTGCTCTCCACTCCTCCAGCCCCAGCCCTCTGGGTCTCCCGTCAGCACACCGGATGCCTAAGCCAGCGACCCTGTGGTGACCTCAGCAAAGCCCCAGCTTGTCAGAAGGCTGCTGGGCCTTTGTTTGGCTTCCAGGCTCCCTGACTTTGGTGTGGAGATCACAGGTCCCAGCACAATGGCCATTGTCTTCTCAATAATGCCCCTTGCCCCAACCACGCCTCCTGCAGCTCCCAGCTTCAGCTCCACAGACCGCTGTGGTGGGCAAGTGATCTGGTCCTGCTCAGTGCCGGCCACGTGCCTTTTGCCACAACCGTCAGAACCCTGCTTGGACTTTCCGCAACGGGGCGAAGTTACCCTGCAATCAGGCCAGTCTTTGCCTAGGGGCTTCTCTGCCTCTTAGGTGACCCAGACTTTGTCCCTGTGTGCTTGAGCCCTTCTCCTCTGTGGGAGTGGAACCGAGAAAAGCCATCAGCGCTGGCCCCAGCTCCCAGAGGCCTGGAAGAGGCCATGCCATGGGAGGGCACAGGAGGCATGGAACAAATGCTGGTACACCACCAGCTGGTGGCTCCGAGCCTGTCTCGGTGGCTTTGGTCTCCTCAACACTTGGGTCAGCTCCCAGCCCTCAGGAGGGCAAGCAGCGGGCGAGGGGGTAACAAGTTTCGGAATCACCCCAGAGTCAGAAACAGCATTTGGCTTTCCTTTCTAGGAGGAGGCAGGAGACTGTGTTACACTTTGTCCTCACGGGTACCACACAGACCCCGGTGAGCACCCCAAATTAGGAAGCCAGCTTTGCCGGAAGAATGAAGGACCAAAAGAAATGCTCAATTCCAGCCTGTGCCTCACACAGCGCTCAGCAGGCAGGGTGCTTTCCCTTCCATTCTGACAAACCCAAACCCCACAGGGCCCGGCACGCAGAAGCACTCCATGAAGCATGACGGAGCAGGTACTCAGTACGTTTTGCCCAACTCATCACCGCAAAGATTTCAGGTGACTGACACCCCTCACCCTGAAGACACACGGAAGCCAACAAGCAGAGGCCACCCACAGAGTGGCCATCCCCAAAGCCTCAGGGCTTCTCCTGAGGCAGCCGGACTGAGCGAGGGGCAGCACACAGCCAGGGATGGAGCAGGTGGCCAGAGTGCCATCCTTCAACACAGCGAGCCATCACCAGACCTCTGCACACCCAAAAGGCAGCCTCCTCGGTGGAGAATGACTGCTGAGCCAGCAGCCACGCGGGGAAAAGAAGAGAGAAGACGACAAATAGGGGAAAGGGCTCCCTGGAGGCTGAGTGAGCCCTCGCAGCTCAGTGGCTGAGCCAGGAGTTGATGGAAACTGACCAGAGTCACACAGTATTTCCAGGAGAATATTCTGGCAGTGAGAGGAGAGCAGCCCTAGGATCATCCCAAAGCATTTGCTCCTCTGAGAACCCTTCAACAGGATGAGACCTGTGGGGAGCGGCGGGATGGTCGGGTTGCTGAGGCAGTGAGGCCCAGCCTCTACTTACCTGACAGCTTGTTCGGAGGAGAGGCGCTGGGCTGGTGGTGGGGGGAGCCGTGGGAGAGCAGAGGGTTCAGGCTGTGCGTCTGGTTGGAGCTGTAGGCGTCCATGGCCAGCTTCTGCCGGAACGCCTCCTCCTTCCTGCGGTTTGCAAACCAGTTGTAGACACGGACCTCCGTGACCAAGTTGGAGCCCAGGCCGTGGGCTTTGGAGGGGGACACCCCTCGCTGCAAACATTCTGCCCTGGGGATGGACGGAGGAGAGACGGTGAGTGACGGTGACGGGGGGCCTGGGTGGTGCGTGGCCGTAAACGCACTATCATAGCAGTCTTGGCTGGGAGTGTGAAGAGGCTGTGGGCAGGTAGAAGGCTGGGGAGGAGAAGCCTGCACAGAGAAAAGGCCAGTCCATGGAGCAATGTGATGAAGATGGCCGGAGGGGGCCTGAACGCAGGGACAGAGCAGCCTACGCTGCCTTGGGAGTCAGGGGCTTAGGCTCTGGTGTGGCTCCCGAGGAGAGAGAAGAGAGCAAGCCAGGAACAGGCAGTCCAGAGGAAGGTCAGATGGGGCTTCCCGACACCCCCCTATCTAGCCGTTCTTCCCACCACGCAAAAGGCAAAGCCCTGCGCTGGCTCTGTCTGAGTGCCTTCAAAGCCCTTCGAGAGGATTTCTGGTCTTTTGGGGTTTGAACTCCCGGAAAGAGGGCTAGGAAGCAAGATGCCTCGTCCCCTCCAAAAGGCAGGCTGGGTGGGGTACAAAAGCAGGGCACATTGATGTGGCCGGTCTCTAGCTCTATCAGCGCTGGTCAAGCCTCAAACCCAGATGTGAGGGATTCTTAAGACACTACTGGGTGCTGCAAGGCATCTCATTAGTCGGGGTACGGAGCACAGCCTGAGGATTCAGTGGCAGCACAGGCCACGTGCTCTGCCTCCCTGCTGCCCAGCCTGACCTCCCTGGCTGCATCCACTGCCAAGGCCAGCCCAGCCTAGAGACAGAAAAGGAGTACACAGACCACAGAGCTGCATTTTTAGAAAGTCAGTACTGGAGTCAGGAAGAACAGGGCAGGAATGAAGTAAAAATATTTCCCAAGACTTTCGAATAGTTTTTTTTTTTTTTTAAATAGGTGGGCACTAGAGCCTGTAATCCCAACTACTTGAGAGGCCAAGGCAGGAGGATCACTTAAGCCCTGTTCAAGATCTGCCTGGGCAACACAGCAAAACCACATCTTAAAAATAAAGAAATAACACATCGTTTTTTGTTTTTGTTTTTTACAAAATAGAGATAGGATCTCACCATGTTGCCCAAGCTGGTCTCAAACTCCTGGGCTCAGGCAATCCTCCCACCTTGGCCTCCCAAAGTGCTGGGATTGTAAGTGTGAGCCCTCATGCCTGGCTGGTAGTTAACATATTAAAAAAAAAAACAAAACTCTGTTGAGTCAGTAGGGACAGAGTGGACTGAACAGATCTGACCAGTTCTTTTTTATTTTATTTTATTTTTTACCAATTCTTACTCTCCTGCCAAGTTTCCTTTTGAACCACACTGCATGTCTGATAATTGCTAGAGGCCAGATCTAGAGTCTGTGGCTAAGGGACTGTATGGAGATCAAACACACAATTTTCACTTCAGAGACATCATATTTTATATCAGCAGTCTCGAGTATCTTCCCTAGAATAAAAATCCATGGGGTTGTTTGTATTCTACCAAAGATTCCATAGTTAACGACCAATTCAGCAAAGTGAATGGGTTTCTTAACTACAGGGCTTCTCAGAGCCTTTAATACATTAATGTATGGGCCGGGCACGGTGGCTCATGCCTGTAATCCCAGCACTTTGAGAGGCTGAGGAAGGCAGATCATGAGGTCAAAAGATTGAGACCATCCTGACCAACATGGTGAAGCCCCATCTCTATTAAAAATACAAGACTTAGCTGGGCGTGGTGGCATGTGCTTGTAGTCCAGCTACTTGGGAGGCTGAGGCAGGAGAATCGCTTGAACCCGGAAGGTGGAGGTTGCAGTGAGCTGAGATTGTGCCACTGTACTCCAGCCTGGGTGACAGAGCAAGACTTCATCTCAAAAAAAAAAAAAAAAAATATATCAACATCTGTATTTATCTATCTATATAAATGTACGTCATGGCTCTCTAAGTGGAAGTATCCATATAACGGTTCTCAGATGTATTGATTAAGGAATTGATATTGGGGGTTCTGCGGGACATACTTTGGGAAGCTCTGATCTAGCCACACTTATCTGGATAATCAGTGTCTCAATATCCCAGCACCGAGGGGATGGATCCCGGGTCCATGTGCTTGCCCACCTGCCCGAATGAGCTTCTGGCGGTATTACCTGTTGCATTCCTCCACTAAGGCCTCTCTCTCTTCCTTGCTGGGGTTCTTTTGCCGATCGTAGGCCTGGTACAAGATTTGCTGGGACGCGGGCCCCCATTTGAACCGGTTACGGCGCATCTTCTTGCTGGTGGGCTCAGAGCAGGCATCATCGGACTGCCCAGGCCCCTGGCTCTGTTGACTGAACTCTGGAAAGAGAAACAGCAGCTGATCCTGACTGCTTTTGTCTGTCATATTTCCAGAACTCTGGACTGTCTGGTTGAATTCTGAAAAGAGAAAGGAGTAGATTTGATAGGGTCTGTAGTCTTTACTCAGCAGATAGACAGACAGACAGACAGACAACAGACGAAGACACCTTTATGCCCCTCAACTAACTAAGTTCTGCAATCTGCTCTCACTGCAGGTGGAACTGTAGAGACTGGGAGGCCTCAGCACAGGCCCTTACTGCTCGCCTCAGTTGCTCCAGCAAAGCCACTCTTTTCTTTTCTTTGAAAGAGCTCAAACATAGCCAGCCATTGTTTTAAGAAAATTATTTTTTTTTTTTTACCCTTTGGCTCACTGGCCCTCAGACATGAAGCAATGCTCTATATCCTGAACTCTTGTATTTTGATGCCAAGTAGGGGAGCTCAATCAAGTCTCATGTCAAGGGGAAAATCGTCCAAAGGTACAATTCACACTGGTATAAAATATTCAGAGGCTGTAGCTAGCACTCCTCACCTCTCCTCCCTCTTCCTATATCCTGGGTGTCTACATTATAAAGTCAGGTTTTGAGAGAGATCCAAGATGGTTGATCACTAGCAGCTCGGGATTGTAGCTCCCAGTGAAAGCGCAAAGAACGAGAGGACGCCACACCTTCCCGTGAATTCTTGTTGCTCACGCACCAGGAGATTCCCAGCGGAGGAGCCCCACGGGTCGCCAGCGCGACTCTCGTGACCGGCGAGGCGGTTTTGCCGGCGCCTCGGAGCGTCGGTTCTCGGTGCAGAGTCAGAAAAGCACCATCAATCTTAACGCCGCTGATTTAGTCGGGCAGTGGGTTGTTCAGATTTCGGCGCTGAGAATCAATAAGTCGGACGTCCACTCAGAAACCCAATTACAAAGACGGTAAATACAAAGACCACAGATGGATAAATCTACAACGAAGGGAAGAAAACAGCCAAAAAAGGCTGAGAATGCCCAAGATCAGAACGCCTCTCCCTCAACAGGGGATCCCAGTTCCTCATCAGCAACGGAACAAGGCCTGATGGAGAACGAGTGGGTTCCAATTACAGAAGCAGGCTTCAAAATGTGGATAATGAGAAACTTCTGTGGATGAAAAGAACTTGTTCTAACCCAATCCAAAGAAACTAAGAACTTTGAAAAAAGGTTTGACGAAATGTTAACAAGAATACACAATTTAGAGAGGAAAATAAGTGAATTGATGGAGCTGAAAAACACAATACGAGAACTTCGTGAAGTATGCACAAGTTTTAACAGCTGAAGTGATCAAGCAGAAGAAAGGATATCAGAGGTCAAAGACCAACTCAGTGAAATAAAACAAGAAGACAAGATTAGAGAAAAAAGGATAAAAAGGAACGAGCAAAGTCTCCAAGAAATATGGGACTATGTGAAAAGACCTACTCTACGCTTGATAGGTGTACCTGAATGTGACGAAGAGAATGAATCCAAGCTGGAAAATACGCTTCAGGATATTATTCAGGAAAATTTTCCCAACCTAGTAAGGCAGGATAATTTTCAACTCCAGGTAATACAGAGAACACCACAGAGATATTCCTCAAGAAGAGCAACTCCAAGGCACATTATCGTCAGATTCACCAGGGTTGAGATGAAGGAGAAAATACTAAGGGCAGCCAGAGAGACAGGTCAGGTTACCCACAAAGGGAAGCCTATCAGACTCACAGCAGATCTCTCAGCAGAAACCCTACAAGCCAGAAGAGAGTGGGGACCAATATTCAACATCCTTAAAGAAAAGAACTTTCAACCCAGAATTTCACATCCAGCCAAACTAAGCTTCATAAGTGGAGGAAAAATCAAGTTTTTTGTGAACAAGCAAGCACTCAGAGATTTCATCACCACCAGGCCTGCTTTGCAAGAGCTTCTGAAGGAACCACTACATATAGAAAGGAACAAACAGTATCAGCCTTTCTAAAAAATATCAAAAAGTAAAGAGCATCAATATAATGAAGAATTTACATCAACTAATGGGCAAAATAGCCAGCTAATATTAAATGGCAGTATTAAACGCACATATATCATTATTAATTCTAAATTTAAATTGACTAAATCCCCCAATCCAAAGACAGACAGGTAATTTGAATAAAAAACTAAAACCCATCAGTATGCTGCATCCAGACCCATCTCACATTCAAGGATACACAAAGACTCAAAACAAAGGATGGAGAAAGATTTACCAACCAACCAGAGAGATAAAATAAATAAATAAAAAGCAGAAGTTACAATTTTTGCCTCTGATAAAATAGTCGTTAAAGCAACAAAGATCCAAAGAAGCAAAGAAGGACATTATATAATGATAAAAGGATCAATGCAACAACAAGAAGAGCTAAAGATCCTAAATATATACGCACCCAGTACAGGAATACCCAGACATACAAGACTTATAAAGAGACTTAGACTCCCACACAATAATAGTGGGAGACTTCAACATCAATATTAGGCAGATCAATGAGACAGAAAATTAACAACGATATCCAGGACTTGAACTCAGATCTGGAACAAGTCAACGTAATTAACATTTATAGAACTCTCCACTTTAAATACACAAAATATACTCTCTTATCAGTACCACATCATATCAACTTAGAAGTTTAAACGAAATCTTGGTTGGCTCCTTGTTTGTTATTCTCTTCCCTCATTTTCTTTTATATCTCCATTATTAAGGACAATTATAGGCATACCCATATGTAGACTGCATTCTAGCCCGGGCAATAAAGCAATACCCCCATCCTCTCTCCCTCTTCCTCTTTCTCTTTCTTCCTCTTCTTTATTCTTTTTCTTATTAAAAAAATTAAAGTCAGGTTTTTAGAAAAAAAGTCACTTTCACGATTTTCACTTCTAAAGTAAAAATTTCAGAATTTCACTTTAGAAGTGAAAAATTGTGTGTCTGGCCACTATACAGGCCAGGGTAAAACTTTTCCTGAGCCACAGACTCGAGATCTGGCCCTTACCAATTGTCAGACATGCAGTGGTCCAAAAGGAAACTTGGCAGCAGAGTAAGCATTGGTTAGATCTGTTCAGTCCACTCGACCCCCATGGACTCAACAGTTCTTTCTATATGTTAACTACCACACAGGCACGGGGGCTCACGTTTATAATCCCAGCACTTTGGGATCACACTTTGAAATAAATATAACTGGAGCTTTGTACTGGAAAGAAAAGATGTGCTTTAGATTGCAAATAATTTCAAAGACTACAAACACAGGACCTGTCTGGGAGTGGTGTTTAATTAGCTAGAAACGATGACCTCTGCCTGTCCAGTTCCCTGGGTTCAGGCCTACTGTGACCCTCAGGAGATTTTTGTGGAATGAATGAGAGCCAGCAGCTCGGCTCAGTGGTGGTGCCTTATCCTACATGGTTTAAATGAGATTTGATATTTACATTACTGAAGAAGAAAGCTTTGCTGTCTTTGTCTTCACATCTGCATGAAGCAGGGCTCATCAGGGGTGATTATTTCCATTTTACAGATGAATAAACAATAGAGTCTAAGCACTTTGCTGAGCAAAGACACATAACACATTCATTTCCTAGCTCTGGGTCCCTATGTTCTGGATGTTAATGTCTTTTTTTTTTTTTTTTTTTTTGAGATGGAGTCTCGCTCTGTCACCAGGCTGGAGTGCAGTGGCAACATCCTCTGTCTCCTGGGTTCAAGTGATTTTCCTCCCACGTACAGGGACTATAGGTGAGTGTCAGCACGCCCAGTAATTTTTGTATTTTTAGTATAGACAGGGTTTCACCATGTTGGCCAGGATGGTCTCGATCTCTCGACCTTGTGATCCGCCCTCCTTGGCCTCCCCAAGTGCTGGGATGACAGGTGTGAGTCACCGTCCATGGCTATTTTTTGGTATTTTTAGTAGAGACGGTCTTTCATCATGTTGGCCAGGCTGGATTCGAACTCCTGACCTCAGGTTATCCACCTGCCTTGGCCTCCCAAAGTGCAGGGATTATGGGCACGAGCCACCGCGCCTGGCCTTGATGTCTTTCTCAGTTCTTGGAATTAACTCCCGCAGGTCATAGAGAGTGGAAGGCTGCCACCTCCCTTTGTGATACGCTCTGGATGTCCCATCATTTACATCCTATCCTTCTTCCTTTGGACAACTGGATCCAAAATCCTCAAGGTTCAAGTCAGACAATTACTTAACGTTTGAATCCCCTCTACAATCCCCCACCGAGTGCTTCTCTAGACTGTATGCCTCCAACAGCCGGGGACTTATCACCTACCTCAGGCTCATTTCTATCAGCCAGGACTTGGGATCCCAGCTGCAGGTGGTGTTGGGCTTTGTTTAACTGTGGACTGACCGTGTCACTGGGGGGGGGGGGGGGCTTTGATTTGGGCCCTATTCATCTTGGAGGATTCTTAGGCCACCTTAGGGCTCTGTCTTCAGTGACCCAACAATGCCGTTAGAGACCTGAGAGAGTCCCTGCCAAACTTACTAGCAGGAAGTCACTGCTGGTGGGATCATGTGGGGCCCCAGCCACGTTGCTTAATTCCCTCGTCACTTCGATTCCCCAGCTGCAGGAATGAAACTGACTGAAAGCTTAGGGGCACTAACTCGTCTTTTAGAATATCTACCCCTAGTCAGGATGATGGCAATGAGTATCAGGCCCAAATTCCTGATACTCTTTCTTTTTTTCAGACAAGGTCTTGCTCTGTCACCCAGGCTGGAATGCAGGAGTACGATCTTGGCTCACTGCAGCCTTGACCTCAAGGCATCCTCTCGCCCTCCCAAGTAGCTGGGCCTACAGATGCACAAGCCACCACACCTAAATTAAAAAATATGTTTTTGTAGAGACGGGGTCTCGCTATGTTGCCCAGGCTGGTCTCGGACTCCTGGCTTTAAGCAGCCTTCTCACCACCTCAGCCTCCCACAGCACTGGGATTGCAGGCGTGAGCCACCATGCCCCACCTGACTGTACTTTTCAAAGTGCTTTCGCCCCGCTCTAGTTTCTGGTTTCACAGCAGTTCTCTAATTGCAGTTACTTGTGGGGAAATTGAAGGGGGAGAAGCAGATGGTCCCTGTTCAGTGAGGTCTGTCACAGTGTCTCCTCTCCTCTCTGTGGGCCTGTAGGACACCGGTGGAGTCACCAATGGCAAAGCCAGAGTGGATCGTCCCCAGGGCCACGAGTTTTTTTTTGTTTTTTTTTTTTTTTCATTTAATGTGAACAGACACAATAACGGTGACATTTATTTAACCATGCCTATGGTGAGGTACTGTGCAAAATCCTCTAAATATATCCCTTAATCTAATTCTTCCAACCTCTCCATGTGAGAAGTACGGCCATCTCCATTTTACAGATGAAGAAACTGAGGTTCAGACTGGTTAAGTGACTTGCCCAAAGTCATAAAGACTTCCAGCAGGAGCCTGGACCTGAGCCCAACCTGCAGGCCTTAAGGCTCCTAACCACCAGCCTGTGTTTCACCTCTCGCTAAAAACAAAACCCAAACCATGCACCCACGCTCCCTTCAGATCCAGCTTGCGTGGAGGTGACAAGACTGACTCCTGAAGCTTTGTGTGTGGTGGGTGTGAGACACTCGCAGCTGCTCCATAGTGTGGGGGCTGCCTCAGTCTCTCACCTGTCCTTTACGGAAGCAGCAGCCAGGTGGGCTTGCCTGTGGGTGCTCAGAACTATTCACGTGCCGGGCGCGGTGGCTCAAGCCTGTAATCCCAGCACTTTGGGAGGCCGAGGCGGGTGGATCACGAGGTCAAGAGATCGAGACCATCCTGGTCAACATGGTGAAACCCCGTCTCTACTAAAAATACAAAAAATTAGCTGGGCGTGGTGGCACGTGCCTGTAATCCCAGCTACTCAGGAGGCTGAGGCAGGAGAATTGCCTGAACCCAGGAGGCGGAGGTTGCGGTGAGCCGAGATCGCGCCATTGCACTCCAGCCTGGGTAACGAGAGCGAAACTCCGTCTCAAAAAAAAAAAAAAAAAAAAAGAACTATTCACGTTCCGCTGACCTCAGGGGCTTGGCTCCAGCCCCTCCCAATTTTTGAAGAACTAGGCTCCCACATAGACTCCCTCTCGCCACCACCCACCACCCTGTACTACCCTTCAGATTAATTGGAGTTGGGGAAGGAAATGTTCATTGCCCATGAAAATTACCTTGGAGAAGTTGGCTTCGGTAGCCGCTTCGTAGGCTTGGGGGCCAGCCTGGACAAAGAGATTCTGTGTGTGTAGAGGGCCCCATGAATATTACCATTTGTTATTTTCAGTTTTTCAAGGAAATCTGTAATCATCTATCATTTTTTTTTTTCCCCCTCAGGAAAAACTGTTGCCCAGGCTGGAGTGCAGTGGCGGGATCTGAGCTTACGACAACCTCCGCCTCCTGGATTCAAGCAATTCTCCTGCCTCAGCCTTCTGAGCAGCTAGGATTACAGGCACGCACCAACACGTCCAGCTAATTTTTGTATTTTTAGTAGAGGTGGGGTTTCACCGTGTTGGCCAGGGTGGTCTTGATCTCTTGACCTCGTGATCCACACTCCTCGACCTCCCAAAGTGCTGGGATTACAGGTGTGGGCCACCGTGCCTGGCTATCATGTATCATTTTGTATTCTCTCCCTTCTCTTCCTCCTTCTCCCCACTCCATTCACTTGTGTCCCTCTTTTATTTCTCTTACTCCCTAATTCTTATACTCGTATGTCTTATATTCATCCTTCAAGACATGATTTGAATGCCACCTCTTCTAGGAAGCCTTCCATGATGTCTCCAGGCAATTTAGCAATTCCTCTGCTGCCCCTTGTGTATATCTTTATAATAGCTCTTAGAAAGTGAATGTCATTTACTCAAACATCTCCACTTCCTCACTGGATGGCAGGTAAGTCCCTGGAGAAAAGAATCTACATATTCCACAGCTTAGCACAGGGTTTGGCACATAATAGGCACTTGTATAATAGTTACAGAGCCGGGCGCAGTGGCTCGAGCCTGTAATCCCAGCACTTTGGGAGGCCGAGGCGGGTGGATCACGAGGTCAAGAGATCGAGACCATCCTGGTCAACATGGTGAAACCCCGTCTCTACAAATGGTGCAAAAACATTAGCTGGGCATGGTGGTGCGTGCCTGTAATCCCAGCTACTCCGGAGGCTGAGGCAGGAGAATTGCCTGAACCCAGGAGGCGGAGGTTGCGGTGAGCCGAGATCGTGCCATTGCACTCCAGCCTGGGTAACAAGACTCCGTCTCAAAAAAAAAAAAAAAAAAAAAAAAAAGTTACAGAATGAAGGAACGTTTCTTAAGCTTTATATCTCATGTAACTTTAAAACAAAATAACAATAACAACAATCTCTTGGAGAGACTGTTGTATGTGTAAAATGTCCCTTCCTAAGCATCTTGAGAAACTTTCTGGACCTCTGTCTTTTTAGAAGTTTCCAGTCTGCCTTTCCTGCCTCCTTCTCCTTTCTGAAGAAATTCTCATTGAACATAAGAGAGGCAGCTCAGACTGGAGATGCAGCATAAAGCTTCAATTAGGCAGGGCACAAGGGTTGCTGGGTCTTCGGAGACGGTGGCTCCTGAGAATTTTTTGAGGCTTTCCAGGAACTACAGAGAGTTGCTTCATGTCAGGAACACAAATTCTTAAAGAGCTAGTCACCAAGGATCGGGGGTGGGGGTGGGGTGGGGTGGGGGAGGGCAACCCATACTTGGAAAAGTCTCCCCTGGTAAGCAGCAAACAGCCCCCACATTGCTTCTTCTAATCTATTCATGTAATGCTCCCAACAAAACCACAAACACCACAATGTGAAATGAACACCTAAAACCCTTCCTTTCACCATCCCAGAGACATTGAGACGATCAATATTGAAACAATCACTTCAGAGCAATATGTAACAGAAAACAAGAGCAATTTCAAGAACCCAGAGAAAAAGGCCAACCCCGAAAGTGGTGGAAACTGACGTCCTGATGAAGACAGAGAAGCCTAGATAGAGCCAGAGGATAGTGTGTGGGGAGAGTCAAAACGGATACAAAATTTTCTTAGGAAAAGGACTGGATCAAAGTAATGAAAGTGTAATGTCAAAGAATACTTTCCTCAAATACAGACAGTATGTCATTCCTACTCTTGTGATTCTAATGCAGTTCACACTTCCCTAGACTTACTTCAAAACCAAAAGCTTTCAGAATTATTGGGTAGAAGAAATCTTGGCACAGAAAAAAAACTTTGGGATGGAAATGGGAATGACAAGAATTGATGCACCAGAGTTCCAAATGCAGACACTTTTCCTGTGCCCTGCCTTAGCCAGAAGTAGCTTCTTCCTGAGAAGGGCCACCAGCTGAGGTTTTCACACTATACCAATTTTGGTAAATGTGAGTAAGCACCTTAAATTGCCTCAGGACTCAGTCCCTCCCACTATCCCCCAAGAACAGGGTAAAGTTCTGAATATATCTCTCTATATAAATGCCTTCTATCGTTTATACTTTTTCCAGAGAGGAGGAAATTAGCACTAATAGTCATCAATATTACTGACTGCAACAAAATGTTTTCTTTGGAAATTGACCGATGGTCATGTATCAAACGGGAGATGCTCGGCTTTCTCTGGGGGAAGAAATGACACTCTGTCAACTAGTTGGTTTCAAGTACACTGCATACACTGACGGGCTCCTCAGAGCAACCGGCTGGGTAGCAAGGGACTGTGACTGAAGAATATGACAGAAGCCAATCCATCGTACAGCAACCACCAATCTACCTGCCAGCTTCCTTATATCTGCCAAGTGCTCACAAGGCCTTGTTGATAAAAGGGAAACTGAGGCAGCCCATGGGGTGAGAGGGCAAAGGTCACTTCAGGTTGAGGCAGAGGCAAAATGAAAACACTTACGTCGGAGGATCTCTCGTTGCTTCCTGACGTACCAAGTGTACAGGGCGGCACGCTTCTGGGTCTTCATAGGGGTGCCCTTGTTGAGATGCTGGGAGAGATGTGACTGGTTCAGGCCGGTGACATCGACCACCTCCCTCTGGGGGATGTTGTGTTGCTGCATGTAGCCCTTGATCATTTTAGCAGCCCTCCAAGGGTCCTCACTAGACAGACAAGCAGATGGTTAGGGTACTAGTGGGAGACATCAGGGGAGAAATATTCTCTTCCTAGGGGGTGTTACCTATACTCTATGCAAAACTCTGAATTTTCCACCTGTCTAAGCCACGACTTTGGCCTAGACATTAGGCCCAAATAGAAGCTAAACAGAAGAGAAGGTGATGACCCCTGTGCAGTACACCTCATCCCTTGCTCCTGAGGTTAGCAGGGAAAAGACTTTCCATCTTCAGGAATAAAAAAGCACCATCACCACTCTCTCTTATTAAGCAAAAAGAAAGGCTCTTACTGGTAGATGTCTTTTAAAGAATAAAAGGAAAAAGTAAAATTTTTAATAATAATAAAAAAAGAAAGGCGGTTTGTTTGTTTATTTATTTGTTTATTTATTTTGAGGCAGAGTTTTGCCCTTGTCACCCTGGCTGGAGTGCAACAGCATGATCTCAGCTCACTGCAACCTCTGCCTCCCGGGTTCGAGCAAATTCTCTTGGCTCAACCGCTCAAGTAGCTCCCAGGCACCCATCAACACACCTGGCTAATTTTTGTATTTTTAGTAGAGATGGGATTTCACCATGTTGGCCAGGCCGGTATCAAACTCCTAAGGTGATCCACCTGCCTTGGCCTCCCAAAGTGCTGGGATTACAGACGTGAGCCACCACGCCCGGCCGTTTTATTTTGCTTTCTTTCATTTTCCCGGAATGTAGGAGACTTAAAAGGCAGGAGGCCCTCAGGAAAGTGGGGATGCCATTAGCTTGGGGCTGGACTCACTGATTCTACAACGAAGTGGGATCGCATCAGTTTCTGAATTTGCCCAATTTTAGCTTCAACCTCTCCTACGTTATTTTCCTTCTGATAAAACAGAGGTAAAATGTGTGTGTTCACCTTCTGAGAAGCAAGGAGGGTGTCTCAGCCAAATAGTAGGTAGTTTTCAGAGTTTTAGAAAAGTTTTCCAAAGTACGATGTCATACCTCCTTGGGACTAGAGGATCACACACTGAGGTGAGGCAAGTAAAGTTTAAAAAAAAAAAAAAAAACACCACAGCCTCACCTCCCAAATAAAATCTAATGGGCTCCTGGGGACAAATAATTTCAATTTCCGATATTAACAATTTCAGATGCCTGTTTTCCTGTATTATCAGGTTTCTCACAAATTTCAAGCACGGGATAAGAACATGGTTAGAGTTTTCATTTCTCATAAACACAGCTGTGCAAATTGCTGGTTTTAGCACCTTTGAATTTTATTTGTCTAGAATGGTTTCAACTTTGCTAATATCTTTTCTTGCTTATTGAACCCGTACTTTGAAAAGATAATTTAAAAGTAGAAATTAAGAAAATAGTGTGCAACACAGAACTACTAAAGAAGCAATATGTACACATTTGCCATTTATTTAGTGCAGGTACATATTTAACTTACAAAAGCCAGCACCCCATTACTGTATGCTGATGTATGTATTAGCCTGATAGAACATTAAAAAAAAAAAATGAAGAGAAAACTAGTTTCAGGTGAAACAACAACAAAAAACCGATGTAAAGGCTGAAATAGAGATAGCATTGCAGTGTAATAACCAATATTATTTCCAAATAGTGCCTTTAATATTTCAAATGAAATTAATTTTGTTTAATGAAGAAAAATCCAGTAATTGAACATACTTTGTAAGCATTTGGGTAGCTGTGATTATTTTAACAAGCCTTTGATATTAAATTCGTGAGAACACAGGCTTTGATAGAGATGCTTTTGAGAAATGCAAACTTTTTATATTAATTATATATAAGAACGGATTTCTGAACTATTTATAAAGGTACTTTCCAAGTACACAATATAAGGAAGTAGCAACAAGATCAAAAAATGAGAAAACGAGTTACAGTTTACAAAGTGGAGAATTCACATTAATTGGAAGACAGTGTAATAAACGTTTTAGACATATCCATGTAAACATCACAGATCATTTAAAAGCTTATTTCTGGTGAATATTTCCACAGATATTTTTAGGGTGGAAAACACTTTCAACCGTTAAGAGCAAGAAACTTCGAACCTTAGGGGGAAAAATGCATTTTAAAAGTTAATATTGCTTTAGCAAATTCTTCGGCGATTTTTCTTTTGTTTAAATGCCTTTACCTGTGCTCATGTTGTGTGCCTAAGAAACCTAGAAAAATAGGGCACTGTCCTAAGTGGGAACGGTTCTGTGGAAATAGTGAATTAACTCAACAATCGGGAAGGGGAAAAACAAAAAAAAAATCCCAGGAAAGCCTTATAAATGATGGTAAAATCTTCAAGCCCGACTTAAAAGAGAGTGGGGAGTAAGATGGCGCAGTTATACCTTTACAGCTCTCAGACCCCGGAATTCACTTGTGTTCACTGGGAAGAGTCGGGAGAGCGGGTTATTTTTTTTATTTGAAAACCACAGCTCAGGCTCAGGAGTCCCTAACAGGGAGAAAGGCACGGGTTCCGAGGAGCCCCGGCGGCCACTGGGTCCCGAGCGCAGGTGTCAAACGCCGGCCGCCGCGCCCGCAGGGTCCGTCCCGCTCGCTCCTCCTCAAACAATGACTTTGCCTCCCTGGAGCAGAGAAGCCTGGACCCCGGTGCAGTCCGCGGCGCGTGCGTTAAGGAGCCCCAACTTCGGCTTCGCAGAACGCAGCCCGCTTTCCAGACGCCCCCGGTGCGCCCGCCTCGAGGCCGCAAGCAAAGCCAGATCGCGCCCGGAGCCCGGGGCCGGGGAGCGCGCAGCCCCGACCGTCCTTCCCCGCCTTTCCCTTCCTGGACGTTTACGAGAACTCCGCGAACTCCAAACGCGACTTGGCTTTCTCTTTGCTGTTCGTCTTAAGGGAACGCGGTGGGCAAAACAAGGGAGTGCGTGTGCTCGGGGCTGGGAGCCCACTGTGCCGTGACCTGGGAACCGCTAGCGATTTCTTGAAAAATGACTTTAATTTAAAGTCCGGCGCTCCCGGGAGCGGGGGAGGAAAGGCGGCACCCGCTTGGGACGGGAGAAAAAAGCCTCCAGGTCGGTGCCGCGTCTCCAACTCGGCAAGGGTCTCCGGCTCCCCAAGCCCTCCTCCTTGCCCTGCTGGAGCCCGGAGCTCTAGGGAGGGAAGAGGGGGGCTGGGGTGTGAGGACCCTGGGCCCAGCCTGGCTCTCCGCCGGCCCGGCCTGAGGGTGTCGGTGACCCCGGGGCTCCGTGGACCGCTCAGGCTCTCGAAGAGCCCGGGTCAGGCGCCGGGGCGGCAGGAAAGCGGGGCGGCACTGGGCGCCGGGCTGGGTGCAAGCTGGGAGCGGCCAGCAGCCCCGCGCCCGGGTTTTGATTTCCTTCCCCCTCTAAGCCGCGTTTACAACTTCACCAATGAATAACCCGCCTCTCTTTTCAACCTAATCACGACTCTTTGTGTATCTTTCTGTTGATGATTTATAGAAATAAATTAATAACACCCCAACTCCACGTGCTGCAGTTTATGTTACGTCTCAACTGCGTCCAGCCCGGCGCGGGGCCCGGTGCGGAGGTGCGCCCTGGGTACTTCCAGCGCCGGGCGAGAAAGCGGGCGCCGGCGGCTGGGCGGGAGGGCCTAGGCCCTGTGGCCCCCAGTGGCCGGCGGTGGGAGCCGGCATCGACCTCCCGGCCGCCTTGGCGCCCCAGCCGCTCCTAGGGGCCACTCGCTCGACCCCTCTTAGCCTCCGCGACTCGCACCTTCCCGCGTCGCGGAGCTCTCTGGCAGGAGTTCTCTCCCGGTGGGGGAGAAATCGCCTCCGGGCGGGAGAGCGGCAAGGGAGAAACCTCAAACCTAGAAATTACCGCAAAGTATGTTTTTTGGGGAAAAAAATCTACAAGTTCCCCTGATTGTTTTGGCTAGAGGGCAAAACGCCAGACCCTTGGATCGCAAATTCAAATGCAAGGTCAGATCCCACCCCGAACTGCCGCTGCAGGCGTGCGGCCGAGGCTCAGGCTCGAAATCGCGGCGCTTCAGTGTTCGAGGCCACACGATGGTCTCCGTCCTAAAGCGGAGTGGCCCGGGAGCGACGTGCGTTCTCAGGGAACCGCTCGGCTCCTTAGATAATTAGTAACCAGCTGTCAAAGCCTAGGGCGGTCGGGGAGGACCCACAAACGATCCCGGCCCCAGGGATAGATCACCAGCCGGCCTGACCTCCCGGGGAGAGGCTGGGGGTGGGCAGCAAGGTCCGGAAACGCCCTCCTTTCTCAGACGGAGACCAAATCCTCTGCGAACTGAAGTCCGAGACGCGTTCGCCCCCGCACCACCCCGCTTGCTTTCTTCTGCCCCGCGCGGGTCCACCCCGACCCTACAGCCAACATTCCCTTTGCAAATGTAAACCCGCGTTGGGGATCCCGGGCAATTCCGGGCCTTGCATGGGCGCTGCTAACAAGCGTGCACAGCAGAAACTCGCCTCCCAGATCCCAGCCCCGGATGCCGCCTGTCTCTAGGCAAAGAACTGCAGGTCGCCACGCAGGTCAATGCGTCCCAGGCCGGCTTGGGGCTTTCTAGACCCGGGGCAGCGAGCAGGGAAGTGCGCGGCCTGGGGCCGGTAGCGGCGCGAGCCTCGGCTCTCGGGAAGTCACGGCAGGTTTCACTGCACCCACTCGCACCCTTCAGCCACGCGGGCAAACCTCCCGGCAAAGGGCTCCGCAGCTCCAGTTCTCCCCGGGCGAGCCCCAGCCCCGCGGGGAAAGCCCTTGGGTCCCCGACTCTGGCCTGGGCCTGGGGAGAAGAAGCCGGGTGCGCCGCAGGGTGGTCCGGCTAAGGGGTTGGGAAGGGTCCAGGTGTCGGGAGAGAAGCAGAGCGTCCCCCGGGGGGCTTCTCTGGTGGGAAACGGGCTTGGCCAGCGTGGTCCGCGCAGTGTCACTCAGGCCCCGGGCCGGGGCTCCAGGGGGTTCGGGTGGGTCCTCGGCCCCTAGCTCTGCGCCTACCTGAGCATCCGGTCCACCTCCGCCCGCTGCTCCGCCGCCTCCTCGGTGTTAAGCGCCTGCAGCTCCTTGAGGATGGGAGGGGTGTCATAGTCGTCGCCGTCCTCGGAGCCCTCGTCGCCGGACAAGCGGCCCTTGGCGTGGCCGTTGGTGAGCGTGTGGAAGACCGGCTTGGTGTCGGGCTCGGCCCCGCTGCCGGGGGACAGGGGCAGCGTCTCCAGCTTCACCCCGAAGTTCGGGGATGGCAGCAACTCCTCCAAGGCCTGGACCAGCACCTCCTTGGTGACCCCGGAGCTCAGCAGGGCGCTCAGGAGTTCTTGCTGGAGCGACGTGAGCTTGGACACCATTTTCCAAGGACGGAAAAAGAAGGGGGTGAGGAGGTGGGTGGGTGCAAGAGAGGAGGGTGGAGGGGAATTTCACAAGCAAACCCCAAATCCTGGAACCCCTCCACCCTTCAGCCTCCAGACACCTGTTACTCCCCAGGGTCCCGGAGTCTCCTCCGAGAGGAGTCAGAAAACTTCTAACTTGCCATGATCGCCACCATTAGGCCATATAAGATATGCAAATTAGTGGGAAGGGCCCAGCTTTCGGCTGGATGCAAATGATGGTGGGGAGGGGGAAACCCGGAGAAAGGGAGAGCCGGAGACCCGGGCCGGGAGCGGGGCTTTACCAGGGTCCATTATACTCACTCGGGGGGTGGGGGGGGGGGGCTGGAGACCTTCTTTTACTGGTTCTGCTTATCAGCCAAACTACAGCTAACCTTTGGACTTGTTAAGCCAGCGCCTTGCAGCCTAGGCGCCGGGCTTTTCCACCGGTTCTCAGTTCTGCTTTAGTCCAGAGTGAAGATACTACGCTTCGGGGTTCAGGTGAGAGACGGAGGAAGCTGGGGTGCTCGTAGAAGAAGGGGACGCAGGAGAAAGCGAAGAGTAGAGACCCTGGATGCATCCCGGCCGACGCCGACGGTGGGCCAGGAGAGCCCGCAGGGCGGAAGAGAAACTGACCACCTGAGAAGGGGCGCCGAGGCCAGAGGGGAGGTGAGGTGGCCTTCAGCGGGGTGAGCGCGCCCCGGAGGGGCTGCATTCATTTCCGCCTTAGTTACTGGCTCTGCAGGCCCCTGCCCGCGGGAGAGCGTAGGCGAGGGCGAAGGAGGCCGGGAGGACCCTTGGAAGGAGACACCGACTAATTGATGGGCAGAGGGAGTAGCCGGAGTGGGGCTCGCCCAGCAGCCGAGCTGCACCGGCGCCCGGCCTGGCCGACACACCTGGGGAGCCGGACGCCTGGGCCTCGCTCTCGGGTTTAAACCCGGATGTCAAGGCGCCTCCGCCTTGGGAGAGGATGGTGAGGCCGGATGGTGAGGCACTAGCATGGTGAGGCAGTGAAGGCAAAGCTTGACCTGCGGCGGGGTGGACGTTTGCAGCCGAGTGTCCCCCACGGCCCACTCATTTCGGGTTTATTTGCAGTTCCTGAACATCTGCGGTTCCCTGGGGCGGGGAACGCGCTGCAGACGCGGTCACTGCAGCAGGGGCGGGAATCTCGCACTCCCTAGTAGAGAAGGTGTCGACAGAGTCGCTGAGGGAAAGAAGTTTTTTTTCCAGCTTGGCCTGGGCCAGGAAGGAAGCCATAGGCCTTGCAGCTCTATCGGAGCTTCACCTGCTTCCCTCCTGGGCACGCGCAAGAGGCGCGCCCGAACCTGCAAGGCTGGGACCTGACCTGTAGAAGTATAGGGGAAGGGGCGTCTTTGCTTCCAGCACACACGGACCTAAAGCTTCTGGGGCAGAGCATAACGCTTCCCCTCTGGGAGCCTCAGCTTCCTCATCTGCAAAAAGGAGATGCCACTGATACTTTTGGAGGTGGGCGGGGGGGTCGGTTGTGTATATTGAGTGAAACCTCTTGTGCGACCTCTTGGTCTAATAACGCTGGTTCAACACTTCCTGGTCTGGGACGACACGAAGCCAGTTCCCAGTAATAAAATGGAGTTTTTCTGAAAACGTAGGGTTTTCCGAATCAGAGACACAGTGCTGGGGTTGGAGGGATTTGGGGACTAGGGTTTCAGAATCAGCAGAAAAATTGCAAAGGAGTTTCTAAGCACATTTTCCTCCCTCTCCCACCCTTGAAAGATAACCAGGAGGAAGTAAGGTTAGATTAGGGATAAAGAGGAATTTGCAGCAGGAGGAGGAAGAGTCTAGAAGCTTTCATCTGCTTATGGACAGGATCAAATCTCCTAGGTGTGCAAGGGCTGATGGTGTAATTTATCAAGTCCGGCTGTTAAGGAACCAGGATGCCTCTTAAATACAGGCTCTGCTACAGGTGCCTACTTGTGTTGGGAGCCAGAAGAAGCGGGGTGGTTGTGTGCATGGAGCCTGGGGAAGGTTTATACTGATCTCAGCCCCTCTTTCCCTGAGACAAGCAAACCCCAAATTCAGGAACCCCTCCATCTTCAGCCTCCAGATACCCGTTACTCCCCAGGGTCCCAGATGGAGTCATCACTTCATGAAAATGTTGGCTTTTCATTTCACCTTCTTTCCTTCTAGTTTGTTGTGATAGGTGACAGATCTTTGCCTCTCATAATTCTCCCAATGGAAGAACATCCTCTGCCTACCCAGCTTGCCTCAAGAAGGGTAATGAAGTGTTCAGAGTAAATGTCCCTGGAGAGCAATCTCTTTTTCTGTGTCTCACTTGCTCTCAGAATAGAGCAAGTGTAATGAAGATCAGTTACTGTGTTAAGCTGGGAAAACCCACTTTAAAAACCGCAATCACTTCTGTTATAACAACAAAACTTTGAGTGGCAGTTCCAGCTGCTGTGTGCCCCATCTGACTCCCAAGCCTCAGTCTCTCTCAAAATTCGGGTGTCAGCAAACCCATTCTTCCCCAAACCCCAGCTAACTACGTGAATGTGCAGGAAATTTCACTCAGCGGTTAGGAAAAACTTCCTATGAGTGTCCAGGTACGTTTTCCAGGTAATCTGGTCATTTATATCCAGGAACTTCCTGTAATCCTCCTTCCTAGACCTACCCTGTAATATGCCACTTGGTGCAATGTAAGTGCTCAAGTGATTGTTCTGAACTATAGATCTTCAAACAGATTCACCAGTCCCTTCATATGGGAATTTAAAAAGAGATGTGTAAAGTGGAACAGCCGATAGACCTTCAGAATGCGGCCGTAAATGCTAAGTGAGCTTTCTTAAAACACTCTTCAGTTAAACTTCCCTCAAATAGAAGAAGATGGAGTAGGACTGAAATAACATCTGTTTCTGCTTCACATAGAATAAAGTGGTAATGGACTGATATAGTAACTCCATTTTCAAGATGGAAAAATAATATATGAGAGAGTCTCGGGTTTCTTGTAGCCACTTTAGCAAATTAATAGAGGAGTTGAGATTGAGGCTCAGAACTTTTGAGCAGGGCTTTAGGATGAAAGAGGAAGGTCTCCAGCTGTCATTGCTTTAGGAGATGAGAAGTTGAAGGGGGGATTCTTTGGGGAAGAGGTAGAGGATACCCAGCAGAGAGCAGAGGGCAGGCTTTGGAGTAGTCGAACAGAACGAAACTTGAACCTGAGCTCTGCCTAACCTGCTATGCCACTTTGGGCATGTCCCATCATCTTTCTGATCCTTAGTTTCCTCTCGTGTAAAATGATAATAACACTCTCCTGTGCTTGTGTGACGATCAGATGAGTTAGCAACTACAGGTTCCTAGACTAAGGTGGGCTCTCACGTATGTAGAAAGAAGAGGCGCGTCTTGAAAACATACTGAGAACGGAGGCGACGAATGTCTTGAAGCTTTGATAATCCCAGCATGTTTTTAAGAGCTACTGAATTGGAAGAGACCAGGTTAGTTTCATCTACTCGGACTAGATAAATTTGCAGTTCAAATCCCAAGGGCTTTTTTAATGGGAGGTGCAATCCCCGGTGTAAAATAAGTTGAAATCCAGTTAATTCGTCATTCTCTGAAGGCGTTCTGAGCACTGTGCTCCCCATTCCACAAATCGGCAAATGTGGCTCCTGTGAACTCATTTCCCCTGGAACTTAGCAGCACGAGAGGTATTTCTTTTCTGATTTGTGCATGAAGTCTGTCCCCTGCTTCTTACAGTTGCACTTCTTTGTTTACAGAAGAGAGATTCTGGTCATTTCCACCCCCACCACTCCACTCTCCCAGGCTTTCTCATTGGTTCACAGAGTATCTAGAAGGCCTCAAAATGAAATCTTCTTTAGAGAAAAACATAAATACCACCCTAACCTGGTCTGCAGGAGGTCAGGGGCCTTCTTCTTAGAGAGGGGTGTTGCAGCCTGGAGAACATTCTAGACCAGGCGTCCCCAAACTTTTTACACAGGGGGCCAGTTCACCGCCACATACTGTGCTCCTCTCACTGACCACCAGTGAAAGAGGTGCCCCTTCCTGAAGTGCGGCGGGGGGGCCGGAGAAATGGCCTCATGGGGCCGCATGCGGCCCGCGGGCCATAGTTTGGGGACGCCTGTTCTAGACTTCAGGCTCCAGAAAGAGCCTGAGGTTCTTCTTCTGGCTACAACACCCCTTTCTGGGTGATTCACCTCCCCCTAATGTTTTGGTGAACACCTTCTCTGGGTCTCTGATTCTACCTGTGAAAAATGGCCAGTTGGCTCCGATGACCATTCAAGTTCTCCAACTTTTTTGTGATTTGAAATTCCTAAAAGGTCTTACGTGATTAGGGTGTCTACTTGCAGGCCTTTGGGGCCGATGGGCCAGGAGCTCAGGCCAGACCTCTCTGTAGTAGTGCACATGAAGCCTTGACTAGCCATGAAAAAAAAAAAAATACGCCACAGAGAGCAAGCCCCATGAGGGGCAGGCATCTTCTCGTGTCTTATTCCTCAGTGCCTGGAGAGGTGTGGAGGCGTGGTAGAGGCTCAGGAAAATACTTGCGGAGTAAATGAACATGTGATTGCCTCTGGACAGTGCTGTTAAACATAAATACTGGCCAGGTGTTGTGGCTCACACCTCTAATCCCAGTGCTTTGGGAGGCTGAGGTGGGAGGATAGCTTGAGCCCGGAAGTTCAAGATCAGCCTTGGCCGACCCCGTCTCTACAAAAATAAAAAAATAAAAATATTATCCAGGCATGGTGGTGTGTGCCTATGGTCCTGGCTACTCAGGAGCATTGCTTGAGCCCGGGAGTCTGAGGTTCCGTTGAACTATGATTGTGTCACTGCACTTCAGCCTTAGTGACACAGTGAGACCCAATTCTCTAAATAAATAACTACTTTTACCAGACACAAAAGAGTATGTACTGTGTGATTCCATTTATCTAAAGTTAAAAAGTGGGAAAGTGAATCCATGGTGCTAGAGGTTTCTGGCGTGCTAGAAAAGGTTCTACATTTTGATTGGGGTGGTGGATCCATCACCAGCGTATACATGTGGGATTTGTGCATGTTGCCATGTGCAAGTTACAACTTAGTATAAAGTAAATAACTCCAAGTATAAAATGTAAACAGTGTAAATCATCTTACCTCCCCCAACGGTTTATAGTCGCTGTTCGGTTCTCCAGAATTTGTCCTATTCATCATTATAGTTCATCATCGTTAAAGTCTATAGCTTAGTATATTCCAGGAGTCAGCAAACTTTTTCTATAAAGGGCAAAATAGTAAATATTTTATGCTTCCTGCACCAGATGGTTTCTGTTACAACTACTCAACTCTGCTCTTA